GACAGCACAGAAAACCAAAGAGCTGGCAGCTACCGTGGACAAAGAATTAGTCTACCATTCAAAGAGGGAACGCTGCCAGTATCTTCGGAACTTTGCCTAAAGGGACTCCTATTAATAATATATTTTAGTTATTGTATTATATTTTTTAAGGTATTTAATTTTAGGTTCTTAGTTGTATAATTAAGTTATGTAAATAAATTAATTAAAATCTAAATATATATAACACAAAGGCGACTCGACAAATTATTAAAAACAAACAACACATCACATAATTACGTCCAATACTTATTTATTTTATAATTACTTAAATCCAATTACTGGTCGAAAATTATGTGAATTCTAAATTCGAAATACAAAATTTGAAAAAAGAACATCAAGTCAAAATGGCGGTAAATTATCGTATGTCGTTTATGAATCGTTTATGGTATCATTTAAAGAGTAGATACAAATTAAACGACCCGGATGGACGTGTTGCAGCCAGTGGACAGAATTCAAAGCACTTCTGACCATCAGCAGTCAGCTGAGGCGTGACCAGAATGACATAGCTCGCCTGACGAGACGGCAGTACGACACCTCAATGGGGACCAACGAAAACGGAGCCCAACAAGTACGGGGCGAGATAATTTTATTTAGAATTCCCACTCACCCCAATCTTTGGGGGTTGTAACATAATAATCGTCATATTTTGTACGAATTACACCTAGCGTTTTATGTTACGGATTAATAATGTGTTTTTAATGGCTGCCTCTGTGAGCGGTTCTGTTAGGAATTCAATTTTTGGGTGACGTTTTGTATTATAGTACATACTAAGGAAAAAGGTTAGTAGGACTACTACTAAATATAACTACGATTATTTGAGTTTGTTTATATGTGTAAACGTTCATCAAAAAGTTTTTAAAATGTGTCCATTTAAGATTGAAATTTGGTATACATGAATGTAAAGTAGACAGATTAAAAATGTTATTTCCTAATATTTTCGCGCCATTACTATATAGGGAACTAAAATTGTAACTGATTCCTAAAATATTCGCGCCATTACTTGATGACAGATATTAAACACTTATTAATTCTCAATTACAATCATTACCACTCTTTGTTTTACAAAATATAAATAGGTATTTATCTATTTTTCAATTAACTTTAAAAAAATTGTCTACTAAAAGAGAGTTTCTTTAAAATTCACAATTTTCAATACGTCATAGCTGTATATGAACAGAACTGAGCCTTTGCAAATAAAACTTATCGTTCGAAATTTAAATTACGGCGCGCAAATTAAAAATGGCGACTCACAAAAACAGTGGCGGCACACTCGCGATTGACAATTAGTCGAATCATCTCGGCTCATCCGAATTTCATCGCATAATTGTCAGTTATAATTGAAAAACGCAATTACCTCGCGAGCGCTATGCTTAATTAATATTAAATTCGCAAATAATCGCGGCGGCCCCCTCCCCGGGGAGGACGGGGGCTGCCGGGCGGGACGCAGGCAGATGATTGAATTATAGGGAAATTTTGAATTTTGAATAATTCACAGGAGCCAGTTAGCCCTTTATGGCAATGTGGGAAAGTGGGGTCAAGTGTCCCCAATGTTTTAGACTGACTCAACTTGGGTTTATATAATTGGTTAAATCCATCAAATTATTAATATGCCTAAATGATTTTTTTTTACTGTAGACACTTTTGAAAAGTTTATTTGCTATAATTGTTTCTATTGAGTTGAATATATGAAATATTTCTGAAGAATAAAATCAGAGTAAATCATCCTTTGAGATAAAATATAAACGAACAAACCGTCTTCGTAACGATCTATATAAACGTCGTTTTTTAATAAGATCTGGCACATTTTCACGTTTCAGTGGCTAAATAGAGCCTAAGTGGCTCTATTTACGTAACGTAAAAAGGTCAGAGACAGAAATACTTCTAAACTTATATTATTAGTACGTACAAATCATATTTATGACTAATATATAGTAAGAAATGGGATTTGTCTAAGTCCCTATCTGTTGCTTAATAAAAAAATAATTCACGACTGTTTTCTCAGATGGGGTAGACAGAGGCATTCTCAATTATTGGTGTCATAGCAATTAGTACACTTTCCATACCCCACATTTGATTTACTAATTAAAAAAAAAAAGTATTTAAACTACGGCAATTAATATTAAAAATAAAGGAAAATCAGCGTGATATCACAATATTTACAAAATTAAATCAAAACATGATTTATAAGTGGGCAGTTTTTTTTATATTGAACATAATTATCACTTCAATATATGTATATTTTTTATATAAATGGCGCCCACGCTGCTCTAATACATAAATCTATTTTAAAGTACATTTATCGCCATTTAAATGTCAAAACAGAGACTTTTAATTTGTACAGATTGAAATAATTGTATTTTTTTTAATAGGTTGACAGCGTTGGATGTAATATTGAAAGGTGAATGGCAACATGCTTTGAAAGATGTGTTTTGATTACAGAGTGCGATAAGATAGGGTAGGGATATTACAGCATAAGAGGTTGTATCATCTTAGTCCTCAAAAATGGCGATTCGTGCTATCATTAGCGTCACATGATAACGTGATGTAAGTATTGTTCCTGTAGCAATATAGGTGACAGTTATAGGTTACTCACGTGTTAACGTGATATTCTCTTACATGATGTTGTTTGTGTACCATTAAAAATGACGGTAACAGGTTACCTACCATCAAGTGTACTATCAGCTTGTATGTGTGCAATTATATATAAAAATAAAATTGTAACTGGTAGCCTATAAATATGTTAGTTGCCATACGATGAAAAATAAAAGTTTAAAAAAAGAACAAATTAAAATTAACAGAGGCATTATTTTTTTATTTAATAAAATTTATTTTAAATCTATCAAATATCCTTCAAATCCTCGTCAAGGCTTTAACAGTTTGTTTCCAATTACTTAAAATAAACTCTTACTTTATTCAGACTTATAAGTTATTAGTTAGCACATAATAAATCTTAGAATAGATCTATCTAGACCTCCCTTTGAAGGAAATTCTTTAAGTCCTTCCATTATTTTATAAATCAGCTCCTATACAAACATATACATAGGTACACAACTACGGCCACTGTAACTCGCCAAAATTCAATTTCATCTCCATTCAGCTACGTGCGCGTCGACAAAACCGTGTCATAAACCAAACAATTACACAGACGCGTGTTGAAAGCATAATTTTTCCACCAAACAACGTTGAAACATTCAAAAACGACTCCGCACGTCGCTTTGTTAGTTTTTCGCGCCAACACGTCTGCCATTTTTGACAGCTGTCAAAAAGTACGGCCAGCGATCGCGTCTTTTGTAATGTCACACCTAGCGCGCCCGCGATTACCGAACCGTCAAACTCGAGCGACTCTTTGTGGATTACACGTTGAGGCCAATTTGAATAATACACAATGTAATCCCACACAAATTACGATATGAAAGCGATAATCTTTGGAGATGCGAACGATATATGCATCACAGTATCACGAGTCTGTTCGTCCGCCTCATTTCAATGCCTATTGTCCGCGCCGTCGACATGGAATCGAAACGTCGTAACTCCTCTCCCAATACCAACACATCCGTCATTACCCCGCGGGCCGTACATGACAATCGATCGAGATCCAAAACGTAACATGTCCACAACGTGACGAGTGATTATGACGCGTCGGGCCGATTCCCGAACGTTGACAAACGCGAGCGCCGATTGCAAGTTTGAAGAGTTCTTTTTTCAAAATTCCCGAACCTTTAGAAGAAGAAGGTGACACGCGATAGTAATGTGACGATGATGGTCTGTCATTATTGAATCAGCTCTTGAAAGGGTGTTGACGTATCACGTCAGATCTAGATACGGCTGCGGACATGTTAATTGTCAAGTACGCGGGAAATATATTTTGGCGCCATTTTTCATAATAGCTCTAGTACATGATATGGTTTTACGAACATATTCTGAATCTTTCTTTTAAAGTGTAATCTATACGTTTAATAAAATTAAAATGTCTGTTTGTAATATTGAAATAACCATTTTTTACTGCATGCATATGAATATAAAAACGGTACATACACCGACATAATTTTTTTTACAATTGTTGTCTGTTTGTCTCTCTGTTTGTTTAATCTCTAAAATGGCTGGACCGATTTTGACGGGACTTTTTTTGGAAGGTAGCTGATGTATTAAGGATTTAACTTAGGCTATTTTTTTTAAATAAAGTTAAAACCCACGCGGACGAAATCGTGAGTACAGCTAGTATGTTTATAAATTAGATTCATAGTCGCAATTAACATTTCCTATTGCTAATTATCGGATATTATTGTAATTTTCATTACTGATCGATTTCCCCGATGTCCGTGCACGTTTTAATTCAAGGTTTAAATACACATACATAAATATTTCATACATACAACGCAACGTTTCAACTTACCTAACGTATTATGATACTACATACAAGACGACGATTTTAATTATATGTTTTGATAGCTCCATCATATATATGTAATTATACTAGCTGTGCCCGCGACTGCGTCCGCGTGTTATAGTGACCTTGACCAAATATGGAAAAATATTTAATAACCCAAAAAAGGCAAAGTCTATCTGTGTACCAAATTTCATTTAAATCGGTTCAGTAGTTTTGGCGTGAAAGCGAGACAGACAGACAGACAGAGTTACTTTCGCATTTATAATATTAGTAAGGAGTAAGGATAAGGATTTATATACAGCCTCGATGGTCTAGCAGTTTAGCATACCGCCTCACTTTAGATGGTCGCGGGTTCGATTACTCGCACGGCACAAACATTTGTATTCATGAATATGATTGTTTATATCGGTCTGGGTGTTTTCTAAGTATAATAATATTATGTATTTACGAAAAAAATATCTATGTATTTGTATCAGTTATCTAGTACCCATAACACAAGCTTTAGCTAGCTTAACTTGAGTCTAGATGTCGCTGTGTGAATTGTCCTGAGATTATTATTATTATTATAGGTTACCTGGATCGGTCGCGTCGAGCGTCTGCGGCGGAGGTTGGCTGAGGGGCCCTGGGGTCCCACCGGAGCCCGGGGACCGCACGTCGTCGTTCGCCACGCCGCCGTATGACAGCGACGATGACGGTGGTCTCTGTTGACAAGAAATATATAAAATTATATATATAAAACTATATATATAAAAAAAATGTACACTTATAATTTGACGACCTCGGTAGTCCAGCGGTCTAGTACACCGCTTTACGACCGATGGTCGCGGGTTCGATTCCTCGCACGGCACAAACATTTGTATTCATGAGTATGATTGTTTGTATCGGTCTGGGTGTTTTCTATGTATAATATGTATGTATGTATTTACAAAAAAAAAAAATCTATGTATTTGTATCAGTTATCTAGTACCCATAACACAAGCTTTAGCTAGCTTAACTTGGGTCTAGATGGCGCTGTGTGAATTGTTCTGAGATTATTATTATTATTATTATTATTATAAAAAAAAACATTTAAAACCTCCCACATTTGAGTCCTGCGAGTAATATGAACAAGTATGTGCACGCGGTTTCACCAGCTTCAAAGTTATAGCCTATGCGTTATTCTGATGTATATAGTAAAGTTTCATTAAAATCTATTCAGTAGTTTTTGCGTGAAAGAGTAACAAACATCCATCCATCCACACACACTTCCAGCTTCCAAATTCATAATATTAGTAATATTTAATAATATAAAAAAAAAACAATAAATTTTGAATGTTATTTGAATGTTTTGTTTAACAGCGCTAAGTTTTTTATCCCCCGACCTACACTTCTATGACTGTGGAATAAAACTTTATTTTTCTAAAATAATAGATTTTTTCTAAAATAAAAGTAGCCTAAGTTACTCCTTATTAAATCAGCCACCTGCCAATTAAAGTCCCGTCAAAATCGGTCCAGCCATTTCAGACATTAGCCGGAACAAACAGACAAAAATGATAAAAAAAAAATTTTGGTGTATGTACCGTATTTACATTCATATGTATGTAGTAAAAAACGGTTATTTCAATATTACAAACAGACACTCCGATTTTATTTACATGTATAGATTTTTATGTTACACTTCATCTCTATGGACTCAAAAGTCGCACGAAACAGACCCAAACCCAATACCCGATGATCCGTGACACGGACAGCTGCGGGAACCCGACCGAAACTACCCACGGCAATTGTTTAAACTGTTTTAATTAATGTCTACGAGAACACAGTTGGCTATCAACTGTGTACCAATCATCCAATTATATTAATTGAATTTGTATTAAAATGTAACTAGGTACTCTCTGGAGACCACACGAAAGATCTCTTCTTTTAAAATCTTGGAATGTTTAGGTTCAATTACCAGAAGTTCATATTTAAGTAGGAACTTAAAAGAAATTAAATAAATTGTTGTAGAGAAAATACCATAATAAATTCGAAATTCGAACGCAGTTTCTAAAAAGCGTGTTCCAGACATGAGAGAGTCTTTTAAAGAATCATGGAATGATCAAATTACCAGGAGTGCATATTTCAGAAGGATCTTTAAAGTAATGAAATAGATTGTTCTAGAGAAAAGGCCACAATAATTCAATTTGAAATTCGAACACAGTTTCTAGAAAGTGGTTCCATCAGAGAATTTTTTGAAGAATCATGGAATGATCAAATTATCAAAAGTGTGCATATTTAAGCAGGAACTTTAAAGAAATGAAAAGGTTTATTCTAGAATTCTAGATAAAAGATCATGATAATTAAATTCAAAATCAAAGTTTCGAAATTTGCAAACAACATTTAAAAATGTTAAATGAACAGTTTTGACGTTCGAAATTCAAAATATGACAGCATTCCACAGTGAAAATATTTCTTTTTTTATTGTTCCAAATTCAAAATATTACGAATGCAACTACATAGTTGTGGGTAATCAAATGTCGCGCTCATCGATAGTGTCAGTAATGTTTTGGAAGTGTTCCCGCGCTAATGAGGCGGTAACATTCGAAATTCAAAATATGACAGCATTCCACAGTGAAAATATTTCTTTTTTTATCGTTCCAAATTCAAAATATTACGAATGCAACTACATAGTTGTGGGTAATCAAAATTCGCGCTCATCGATAGTGTCAGTAATATTTTGGAAGTGTTCCCGCGCTAATGAGGCGGTAAAATTCGAATTTCAAAATATGACAGCATTCCACAGTGAAAATATTTCTTTTTTTATCGTTCCAAATTCAAAATATTACGAATGCAACTACATAGTTGTGGGTAATCAAAATTCGCGCTCAGCGATATTGTCAGTAATGTTTTGGAAGCGCTAATGAGCCGGCGTGCACGCCAATGTGCCATTATGCGCGCGCGCACGGTACCTGCCACCTGCCTTATGGCCCTTGTCGATGGTAATGGGCCCGATGAGGAAATCTGACTCGGACTAGATACTGATGATCCATTAAGAAATACTGTTGCTTTAACCATAGAGCAACATGGTAACATGTAACTAGACTAGTTACGAGCCCATTCTTTTCATTTGCTTTCTGAATATGGTGTTTGTATTAAAATACGAGTACTTAAGGTAAACATAGGTGACGGTCAGTGGTCTAGTGGTTTAGCACACCGATGGTCGTGGGTTCGATTCCTCGCACGGTACAAACATTTGTATTCATGAGTATGATTGTTTGTATCGATCTATAGCCTGTGTTATTCTGATGTAGGCTGTATTTCTATAGTTTCATTAAAATGCGTTCAGTAGTTTTTTGCGTGAAAGATTAACAAACATTCATACATACTCACAAACTTTTGCGTTTATAATATTAGTAAGATAGTGAGGGTTGTAATCGAATTGATCACGATTCGATTCTGTCCATAATTATTCGATTGTTTACTCGAATGAACAACTGCAATGATGCTGTACCTATAGTGATGATGATTTGCTTCATGATTATAACCATTACGTTAATAACTTAATAAGTTAAGTACAGTCGGCAATTGCACACCCATCATGTCTTAAAGGCTGGCATAGACGATGCGTCGAGTTACCATGGTAACGGTATAATCTATACATATAAATAAAATTAGAATGACTGTTTGTAATATTGAAATAACCGTTTTTTACTATATGGATATGAATATAAATACGCTACATACAGCAAAATTACATTTTTACAATTTTTGTCTGTCTGTCTCTCGGTCTGTTTGTTTGTTCCGGCTAATCTCTGAAATGGATGGACCGATTGTGACGGGACTTTTTTTGGCATGTAGCTAGTGTAATAAGGAGTAACTTAGGATACTTTTATTTTAGAAAAATAAACTTAAACTTCAATTACAGCTAGTTATATATAAGTTTTCTAGCATTATTCAATATTTCGGGATAATGAGCTTTATTAAACAAATTAAAGAGAGAATTGGAGTCGTGTCGTATCAACATATAAAGAGCATGATGGAAGATCGTGGAAAGTGGCAAGAGTCCACCGATACCAGCGTGGCTCTTAAATTATGAATGAACTAGCTTTTGCCCGCGGCTTCGCTCGCGTTAATTTATCCCCTTAGTGGTGGAATTTATTAAAATCCTTTCATAAGGAATGCCTACGTCATAGTAGCTTTATGCATGCAAAGTCTCAGCCCGATCGGTTTAATATTGACAAAGTTTCATACAAACTTTCATCCCCTATTTTATCTCTTTGGGGGTAGAATTAACCAAAAACCTTTCTTAGCGGATTCCTACGTCATAACATCTACCTGCATGCTAAATTTCAGCCCGATCCGTCCAGTGGCTTGGGCTGTGCGTGGATAGATCACTACGTCAGTCACCTTTGAGTTATATATATTTAGATGAATGAATGAATAAATAATATTCATACTTTTAACAATCAAATGAAACCTAATCTAAGCACTGTTGAATAGTCATTTTTTTATTCATTAAATTTTATATACAACGTATACAATAAAAAAAACCTGGACGGATGTGTGTTTGTCCGTGTACCGTGAATGCTAACTTTATGGTAAGTGCGTAGAAATTACTTGCAGAGCTATAATCTATACCCGCGGCTTTGCTTGTTCATTTTTAATGAATAAATAAACTTTCTTTAAAGTAATTAAAATTTTATGACAAGTATTGTTAGTGCAGATTATAAAGCCCATTGCTAGCAATATATCAAGTCAGGTTGACCTCCACGCGGTTCCCCTGGAAACCATCATGATAAATTCCTGGTGAATTTGTCACGATGTGCTAACTGACCTGTCTTCATGCTCATCTTATCATCCTCCACTGGTGCCCCGCCAGCGTAAACCTTTAGCGCAGGCGGGTGCACCATTCCATTATCATAAAAAAACATTCAACATTGGAAAAAAAAATCAAAAATCATACATTAAACCAGATGTTAAGGAGCTCCGTAACCGTAACCGAAACTATCGGATATCCGATATAAAAAAATATCCGTAACCGTAACCGAATCCGATATAAAAGTTTCGGACAATATCGGATAGGGGCGGAGCCTAATTGAGACACGTTATGTAACCATTTTATTAGCTATTTGTGTTTTACTTTTGAAATTCCTTTAAAATTAATATTCGTAACCGAAATTATCCGGAACTAACGGATAATCCGAAATAATCTCATATCCGCATCCGTATGAATAATCATTACTATATCCGAACCCTATCCGTATCCAATATTTCATATCCATAACATCCCTGCATTAAACCAATAGATAAAATAAAATAAACATCTCACCATTGGTGTATCACACATTAAAACAATAGATAACTGGATCGCAAACAATCCGTTCAAGTACAGTAGCACATGTAATTAGTTAATCTGTGACAGTACCGCATCGAACCGGGGTTACTTGGGCAAAGCGATCGCTATATTACTTATTTGATTGATACCCACTCGTTTGGTGCACGTACCACGCTGTAATTACCGAAAAAACACACTTTAATTGCTGTTCACGTAACCTAAAATTGATTGGGAGCACTAACGATCGTTAGCCGTGTCTTATTACTTGACGCGGATTGTTTTAATTTAAAATAATGGACCCACGGCCGGCTTAATTGAAAACAATAACGATTAGAAAGGAAATGCTAATGCTAATTTTTGAATTTGGAACGTTTAACTCATGCCCTAGAGCTGGGTGAAAACTAATTC